ACTTTTAGTTGCTTCTGGAGCCATGTTGAGCCTCGACCTGCAAGATGAATGAAAAGATTAATTATAGCACGAAATATAGCCAGGAATGGTTTAATTTTAGAATAAGTTGAAGGTGTAGAGACAAGCTACATGTAGTGCATCAATACAACATTTAATCCCCCAAAGTTAGAAGAACAGCAGTGCGCACGGTTACTGTCCTGACCTGTTGTGTCTGAGGTGACTGCGGACCAGGTGACCAGCTGCCAGGGCAGACATCAGGGACAGCTCACCAGCCATGACGGTTGAACACACCACCTGAGCCAGCTGTCTGGCATTCATGCCTGGCTCCGAGTCGTGGGAGCCGTCAATACCCATCATCTGTGGAAATACGTGGGAACAGGGGCTGTCAGCATGGACTAGATGATCACAAGTAAAAATATTTACAATTTGTGGAGAACTCCAATTACAAAGGAATCATCCTATTTTCTTTCTGCTTTCCCACAGCTAAATGTGCCTTTGTTACAGTTAATTTGTTACTGTGTGCGCATCAGCCTGCCCTACTAGTAACTACAATTCTTACAATGTACAGATGAGTGAATCCAAACTATCGGTATATACTAAGTACTATCTGCAGGCTCTAACTTCTAAGTCCAGATATAAAAGTCCCTCTACAATGATAAAGTGAAAAAGTTGTACCTTGAGACAGGCCCTCTGTGGTGGCAGGACAGTCCCCCCTCCCACAGTGCCCACCTCCAGGGAAGGCATGGTGCAGCTGATGTACAGGTCCTCTCCATCCTCTCCTGTGGCCTCCATCAGGGTCATACAGTTGGAGCTCGCCACAACCTGGGCAGCATCCTAAAAAGGACAATTTCAAAAAGAAAATGTTGAAAATCATGAAATCCAATAATGGACTAAATCTGTAGAACAGTCATGATTGAAACTCATGAAATCCATTAATGGACTAAATCTGTAGAACACTTCATAGAAATAAAAGCTCTTCCAGGCAGAACAAACGAGTGAGTCAAAACATACTATATACTAATAGCTCATGTCAGACTAGAGCATCAGAATGACAGAACCCACCTGTCCTGTGGCTATAAAGATGGCAGCTACAATGTTGGCAGCGTGTGCGTTAAACCCTCCAATACTCCCCGCCATGGACGACCCAATCAGGTTCTTACTGATGTTCAGGTCCACCAGGGCAGACACAGAGGTCTTCAGAATCTGCATGGCAGACAAAATGAACTGTCAGGAACAGAGCAGGTTTCCTCTACAAGAACAAACAGACTGACTGACAAAAATCCACAGCCCTTTTCTCTTGGTAGAATTTTGTACAAAAAAGTTTAAATTCTTCATCACTTTCTACACGTATCTGAAATACCTTTCAGCACACTGGCAATTTTAAAACATGTCTAATTACAAGCAGATATGAATCCTCACCTTCTTGACCTCCTCCCCCTTGATGACAGCCTCTGCCACTACAGACTTGCCCCTCCCCTCCAGCCAGTTGATAGCCGTGGCCTTCTTATCTGTGCAGTAGTTCCCGCTCAGACTCAACAGCTCCATGTCAGGGAAGAACTCCTCCAGCTTTTTCAGAGCCTGCTCCGTCCCCTGTAACATAGAGACCAGCTTTACCTCTTTTGCCTCACACTTAAGTCTGTAGATAGAGTACTCTAACAATCATGTTAACAGTGGTAAGAGTTTTTATCATTCTTTGTACGTAAAACAGCTCTTGTGTAAAGTGTGAAGAACATCATACTGAAAAATGTCTGAAGAAAGGACAAGATATGGAAAGAAGAATTACACAGTAGGTACCTTGGAGAGCATGTTCATGCCCATGGCATCTCCAGTGATGGCCTTGAACCTGATGTAGACATGTCGTCCTGCCACAGCTGACATGATGCTGTCTAACCTGCAGAACCTGTGGGAGGGAAGTCTGATCAGCACATGTGGAGTCTATACAAACAACACAGAATCAAACAGAAGATGTGCCAAAACAGCGGAAGCTGAGCAACTAATCATCATAGCCCGTACTGAACGAGTGATCTAGGCACCAGAGTTCCAAAAATATCACCTGCTTGTTGAGTTGAAAGCCTCTTTCAACAGGTCTATGTTGTCCAGGTCTCGTAGCCATATCTTCAGTGCACTGGCCTGGGCAGCACTGGGCATTCTGACCACTGGACCTCTGGTCATTCCATCACCAATTATGTAGCTCCTGGCTCCTCCTGACAACTACATGGGACAAAGACAGGTGATCTTTAGTTGTTCTGGCAAAAATAAGCTTTCACAGCATTTAAACAAATAGGAATGACAGTTGTGCTAAAGAAGGTGATTCAAGCACTGTAATACTGTATCATGACACACTGCCCCCTAGTGAAAAGGAACCATACTGCAGCTTACTCATGAAGTCAAACAATTTTATTTTCCTCACCTTAATGGCTCTGCAGCCACGGTTGGTGCTGGCGACCAGACAGCCCTCTGTTGTTGCCATGGGAACCTGATACTCCTTCCCGTCCAGCAGCAGGGGGCCGGCCACGCCCACCGGCACAGGCATGTAGCCAATCACGTTCTCACAGCACGCACCTGTCACCTGCAGGGAACAGCAACATGGCATCAGGCGGCACGCAGGTACAGAATATCTGTGTGCAGGACTTATCTACTACAATGTATCTGGATACATAATGTATAACTCTGTGTCATACACAATAGATTTCTTCCTGGCACAAATAATTACGTTACTTTTGCTTTGGCATGTATTCAGCACATGAAATCTAGCAGTATATATTGAATGAGAATTTTTGAGGAAGAAATATACAAACATACTAAATGTTGCACTTACAAATGAGTAGTCGTAGCTGGTATAGGGAAGTTTCTCCAGTGCCTCCTGTCTGTGCAGCTGTTCAGTCAGCATCTGTCTGCGGATGTCCACGCCCCTCTCAGCCGAGCCAAGCTTGCTCTCCAGCTTGTACCCAGGAATGTGCTTACTGCGAACGAGCTGCCGTACTTCCTCATCTGTCAGGGTGTCTGCTCCCTGAGGGTCAGTAGGAAAACAGGTTCAGTTATTGACATGGACATCAACTCTGTCAAGAAAAGGACACAGACTATCCAACAATACCTAACAGGACATAAAACCTTAACCTCTGTCAATCTACGGCACTAACTTGAACTAGTTACCTGTGAAGTTTATTCTGTTTCCATATACACTAACAATTTGATATTTGACTTTTCAAATAACTGCAACTATTAACCACTGCCATTTTGGTATGTGGAGAACACATGTAACATTACATCTTTACCTTGGTGTTAAGAATTTCTGCACATTCTTCAATAGACCTGGGGGGTCTGGGTGTGTCATCCATCTCCTCCTCTTCCTGCTCAGACTCCTCCGCTTCTGAATCAGCTGGAGACGTGACGTTGGATCCTCCCAGGAAAAAGGACGTCTTTGGCTCAGGGAAATCTAAAGAAGTAAACAGACACAAAATTTACATACACTCAATACATCTACAGTTCTGCAAAATGTCACTGCCTGTACATATGTACTGTCAAGTCGGCACATTAACAATCTTGGACATAACAGAACTCACCATCAGGATCTGTCTGTGTGCAGGTGGACAGACATGTGCTACTCTCAATAGAGATGACCTCCTCCTCCTCCTTCTCCATCTCCTGTACCCTGGAGGGTTCCTCCAGCCCTGACTTCCTCCTCTCCATGGCAGGCAGGGATGAGATGTTGTTCTCATTGTTCTCAAAGAAGATGTACTTGACAGACAGGATTAGGGCCAGGACCAGTGTCAGGACCTCATCATAGCTCATGGACAACCACCTGAAAAAGTAGAACGACCACAATAAGGACCACATTCTGTCTGTGTACTTAAAAATAATGTGTCAACTTGAATGAACGGCAAAAAATTTGTTAGTACAACGTAATTCAAAAAACCACATCATTCCTACTGCCATGCATCACAACTCTTTAAAAACCTGCGAAGACTTACGAGGTGAGGTAGAACTGCCAGAGAGGCATGTCAGGTTCCACTTTCTGCTGGGCTGTAGGTATGGCAGGGACACCTGCCCTACCCATCAGGCCCCCCAGCCCCACTGGGTCAGGAAGGCTTGTGTCCTTCTCAGATGGAACCAGCCAACTGTGGGCATGGACCAGGGCTAGTCCCAGGGCCTGGACAGGACAGACAAGATTGTTTCTTTCAGTCATACAGGATATTAAGACAGGAGAACTGTGAAGACACCGGTTACATGACATGTATACAACAAATCTACCATTTAGTTCCACATGCTATCTTCTAATCAATTCTGGAATATGCCTTGCATCTTGTTGAAGAGACTAAGGGCTCTAAGTTGGAGTTTTCAGGATGACAGACTAACACTGTACAGCTAAATAATGACTACAAAAGAGACAAGTGAAAACATAAGTAAGAGGTACTGACCATGATGAGCTTGACTCTCTGCACCACTGGGTTGGGTTTCTGTTCCTCCACCTCATCCAGGATGTTGTCAGCCAGCTGGTTCAGCTGCCACACAGGCGGGCCTTTACTCCGGTCCTGGGACAACTATAACAAACAACACTGGTCAGATAAGCAATGGACTTTTCTTCTTCACCATCTATTCACCTACTCATTCCAACAGCCACGGAATGCCAATTTTTACTAGGTTGACTACGATGTTACAGATTACACAGAAGATGGTGAGAAAGAATAACTTACTTCCAGTACTAGAGAGAGACACGCTGGGAAGAGCGTCATGAACACCACGTAGTTGGCCAGGATGGACAGGCAGCCAAAACAGCACATCATCTCCAGCTGCCGCACACCTACAGGGGAGGGGGGACATACATCAGCACTCCAGCTTACATCAATTATACACATGTACATCATTACACTGTCATCACAACTTCAGTACAGTTCAAGTTCACTGAGCACTGTAACCAGTTAGTAGTTTGTTGTTTCCATTTGCTTGTAATCAATATACTTATCCAAAACTGTATCAGTACAGTACAGACTCCAGTGGGCCAATGAAATATCAAGAAAAATGAGATGTTGATGTCATTTCCCACCTGACAATGTGCCAACTCCAATAACAAGAACCTCCACCAGCGCATCCAAGGTGAAGTTTGGTCCCAGGACGGCCATGCCTCGGGCGATGTTCTCACGAACCTCCAGCTGACTGGAGGAGCTGAGCGCAAACTTGGCGAGGGCCGAGGCCTTGGAGAGGTCGATGAGCAGCAGGAAGAAAGGCATGGCCTCGTTCAGACCTGTGATCTCCTTGTCCAGGAAGTGGATCACAGCACTGCTGAACACAAAACTGGAGAAGATGGTGAACACGCCGGCAATGCCTGGGGAGAGAGAGCAGAGAACAGGGTGATTAATCATTTACCAAAGTACAAACATACAAACCTTTGGATTGAGAGGTGTTTACATTATACTGGTAGTACGTGTGAGTCTTGGATAAAATCCAAATGCAGCATAGACACGGCCACAAAAAAGGCGGTCACAAAAAAGGAGGTCAAGGAAGCAGAGCTAGATGCAGGAAGACTTGATTGAAACAGACTTAAACTAATGCAGATACAAATCAAATCATTAATAAGCTATCGTAATTCCTGACTTGCATACATTTGGTTCGACTGACATTGCAGCACTTACCTAGGATGTACTTGGAGCCAAACTTCCTCAGGTTGCGGAATTGCATGTAGATGTAGATGACAGCAATACACCTGGTCAGGCTCATGATAATCACATCACTGCTTTTAATGTCCTGGGAGAACACAAAATATACCTGTCAACTAGGATATCTAACCGATTCATGACACATTTCATGAATTTGACATATCTACCAGAGCATTATTCATACCGAACCACCATCAGGCCACTTGTGCAAATACTAGTATCTTTAGCAGACTTGGACTTTTTCCAAGCATTAGCAGGCCTGCCAAACTACAGTATAGGCACTTTCCTGTAGATCTGATTTTGGAAAACAATGCTGTTGATGCACACTGTATAAACATGATTTGGAACACAAACAAATTCAGAAAATTTTTTTGGTCACTCAGCGGTTTCAGCCTCAAGTGGAAAGGGCCATAGGGGGTGTCAACGACTAACACAAATATACAGAGGAGCTGTAAGTCTGACCTCATCTACGTTACAGATGTAGTTCCAGCCGCAGACACGGTCGCTGTTGGTGATCATGTTCATGGAGAGCAGACATATCGTGGCCGTGATGGTTCCCACGATCACCTCCCAGGGGTGCGACACGCAGAAGCGCCCGTACGCCTTAAACAGCCCCGTCAGCATGGCCAGGTTACTCAGCACCTGGAACAAGGGTTTTTAAAAATGACTAGCTGAAGTCAAGCTACACAATTTGGAAACTGTAGTAACTAGGACATGGAACATTTCAAAATCTAACTGAAAACCTAGCAAACTAACAGTTTAAAGTACAAAGTCAAATCTTACATAGCAATTTACTTATCAGGTACCAAAAGTAAGGATATACAGGAGCTAAAAAAACATTCCACTAAAATTTGGACCATATCTTTTTACCAGAGTGTTGCTAGATTGGAAACTTAAACAGACTACCTGAAAACCTTATCAAACTACGAGCAGTAAGCAGTTGATAACATACTGTAGTTGTAAAAGTAAACTCTCAGATGTCTCCAGGTAAAGGTATAACTTAATCCCCCAAATCTACAATACAGTAATCAGCACAGAAAAGCCAGAAAAGAGATGATGCAATTTGGCTAGACTGAAGTCTCATGGAAAGAGATTTCTTTCCATGAGACTTCAGTCTAGCCCAATTGCATCATCCCTTTTCTGGCTTTTCTGTGCTGAGTAAAGCCAACATTAGAAATTCTATTCTAATTGTAGGGAAAACATTATTCTCATAAAAGGTCATAAAGAACTGAACATACCATACTTGACAGCCTCCTTCAGAAATTATATTCTACAAAGTTTTCTGGATATGTGACTCCTTAGGAGAGTTAGAAAAGCCTCAAGTGTGTGTCAAACCCCCAACCGGCTTCTTATATAAGACAGCGATAACCTAGATTGAATCTCACAGTCACACCCCCACCTGATCCCTCTTCTTGCCTGTGATTGGCAATCCCCAATCATCAGGTTCCAAACTGACCAATCACAGGCCAGAATGGGCTGAGGTGACATGCGAAGAGTTCAATTGTATGAACTAATTTAAATAAGTGATGAATTTGCTACTGTGGCACAGATAAAGGGACAGGTATACAGACATGTAGTCTGATAGCAATTATCATAACTAGCTGGGCTAACAAAAAACCTTGGCCTTTATCATTTTAACTGCAGTTTGAACTATGATCAATAGGGGGCACTGTGACCAAGTGGCTCTATCTCTCCTTTGAAACCTGATTACTATGTCGATTACCTTGATCCAGACTTAGACTTGTCTAGAAGATTCCAAACTTGTCTAGAAATGTTCACACTTCTTCCTCACCTTAAGGAATGGGCCTAACATGCAAAAAAATTCTGAAATGCCTTTCAAAACTTCAGGTTTCACTCTATAGTAACGAACAGCAAGGAGGTTTATATTAATAAATACTAACACAGTAACAGTACTAGTATATAACTGTATTGAATATGCACCTTGACGTTGTGGCCAAAATAAAGGTCTAGTGGTTCAGAGTTAAGTGTACTCTTGCAAATGATAAGTGAATCTTTACTGTACTTAACAACAATTTGGAATAAATATGCTTTAAAAAATGATGCCCTTGAAATTTGGGGAGTGAAACCAGTGTAATTTTCGACATTATTTTACATGAAATTAACAGAGCATGCACTGTCATATAATATATACATTAACAGTCAGTATTCCGTTATTTCCTGGCACAGAAGTATCTGGTGTAAAATCCGCCAGTATACATTGCACATTGTTTATAAAGTTATAACGTTAACTTTGTACAAGGCAAAAATTATATAATTTAGACAATTAGAGGGCAAGGTTTTGAAATATTCGTTGAAGGAGGGCAGGGGCTATGATAATTATTTGAACCAAACAACCTTATTTCTATGTTTAATCGTGCCTACATACAGCACCGGCGTGCAGTTTTCTACACCATAATCTGTCGAAACACTAACATACAAATCAAACGTCAGATTTTGTGTAACTTGTTACCCCCGCCCCTCCCCATCATACTTCCACCTTGCTTGGCAACGTGTGCTTTTTTCACCAGTACTTACCAATAAATAGTCTTGAAGCGGCGTAGACACGTTCCGATATATTAGATTAATCTTCGATACAGCACAAATGTCCTAAAAATTTCCCCAGACGGGCAGTTTGAGAGATTTTCTACCGTACGTGTTTGGTGGTTCGTCTGTCGTCTGTGTCATCATCCCAAACGTGATGGTGACGTCACGGATAATCCCAGCATGCTCTAGGCGCGTGGGGAAACCCGGAAGTGGAATGACCTCCCATCAGCTGTTGGCATGTGACGAACAGTTGCTTGCAGCTATGATCGTTGTGTTAATGGGCGTTTGTGGGTGTGGAAAGTGAGTAACATTCGCTGGTCGTAGATCTCTTCGTCTCCCTTGGCCCAGTCAAGTTATGTTAGATGCTTTCGGAGTTTCCTATATGGTCCCAACTCCCAACCTCATTAGTTGTATGGGGACCACTTTGGTTTGTTGAACTTTGATAACACAAGGGACTTGAATACCCAAGTGTATAATTAATGTCCTTGATATACCAGACTTCAGGTAGCAAATGTTTTTATTACAGGTTCGCGATAGCGGGAACCTGTTTTACGTTACCTCGATTTTATGGGCGCCGCCATTTTGTTTCCCGTCATGCAATGGGGCAGGCCAAAGTTGAGTGAAGTGCATTGTGGGACCTGTCACCGGGCCACAGTGTAAGGACGACGCCTAGCGGTATGTTTGGAAAGAGCAGTAACTGAAAGCCTACCTGGTTGTGCGTTCATTTTGGCAGGAGTGTATAGAGGCGATGGCTTTGGCGTAATATACGCTGATTGTGTTTAGGACTTGCAATTGAAGTTCAATGTAATTTTCTTCGCATGACGGGAAGGAAACATGGCGGACCTAAGGTTTTTTTTGATGATGAGATGATGAGGCTTTGGTATTAGTAGGGTGGTCTTGTGGATCTTGTCGGAGGCCGAAGCTAGGGACGACAGATTGTCCTCAAGT